CCCTGTTGGAGAAGTTTTTGGATGTGCATAGGGATTTGATTCTTGGAAGGTCCCATTCATCTATTTTATCTTCTCCTGGTTGTAGATAAATACAGCTCTTTGGGAGACAGAGATTATCCAAACAGGGGCAAAGTCCCTTATGAAAATGGCTGCTCCACCAGAGTAGGAGAAGGGATGCAAAGACCATCAAGTGAATTGTCTCAAAGTAAGAATTTGTCTGTAATGGATTCATGACATATCAGTGAGATTACATAAAAGGGGGTCAAAGTAACATGTATTTTTGTTTTTACAAGATTTCCCCATGACAGTAGCAATACAGTACTTTTTTTTGTTACATTATTAGTAAAATTGTTTAATCATGTGTGTTGGTGGGAGACTGTTATATATTGGTAATGCTCTGTACTAAGGCCCTTCAGGTCTTGCATCTATTTGAGTATAATGAAAAGACCCTGTTGGAATAGATTACAATATTCTGTACATGCTAGATCTCAGAAAAAGGAATATTATCCTTGGAGTGGGTTGCGCCATATCAGCCATTAAGGTTACACTATGTGTGTGGAATGTGTGCCTAATGGACCCTATGAACAACTGTCCCTTTTCCAGTAAAACCAGAGTAATTGGTTGGTATCCAGCTCTCCTTGTTGAGCATTTTGATTGAACATTTTATAGAAGAACCATGATCAGAAGGGGGAAATGCAGAAAAGAATTTCAAGATATCATTGAGCTCGTATTTCTGGATCCTTGGAGGCTCAGCGAATACCTGGAACTATTGCCATGAGATAATCTTTAAACCTAGAACCTTAACTCGGAAATTTTCCCTGAAGTCTTTTTTTTAAAATCAAGTAATAGTTTAGTTAGTGTTAGCTAGTAAAGCACTTATATCTTGAACTCTTTCAAGATTTATCTAGACAAAGACCTCAACAAGATGGATTGACCCAGTTACAGTTAACAGGAGCTGTAACCTGGCTGAGATGGTGATGGTGCAGGGTAGTGCAAGGTTCTGATCTACTGTTGTATGTTTTCTATAAGGCACAGTAACTCAAAGGCACCAAACAACAACTACAACTATGTGGAATCAAATTTATAACAACAGTTTGAAAATTTAGATCAAAAGCTTGTAAGACAGTGAGTTGTGTTGATATGGAGGAATGACTTGGAAAAGGAATATAATAAAAACATGGTTATACAAATCGAAAAATTAGTGTTACTGAATTATACATGTAGAAATTGTTGAACTGTTGTATATGTATTCTGTTGTGTATGTTCTCAACAACAAAATAAAAATACATGTTTAAAAAGACCAGCAACAGTCAGTGTTGGCAAGACAGTGAAACAGTGGAAACTCATAGTACTGATAGGTACACATATACTAAATAGTATGTTCATTGTGTTAAAACCTTGACAGTTTCTTATCCAGTTAAACATATATTTGTCCCTTGACCCAGCACATCTATTTCTTTTCTTTTTTTTTTAATTTCTTTTTTTTTTATTTCTAAGGATTTAGACAAGAGAAATTTACACAAGAGAAAAAAGCTATTAAAAAGACTTAACAATGAATGTTCACAGAATTTTATTCATTAATATCCACACTGGTAACCACCTAGATATTTGTCAGTCGGACAAATAGAAAATTAAAAATTGGATTTTTACTCAACAATAAGAAGTACTGAAATCAGCAGGATGAGTCTGAAAGTCATTCTTTGTGAAAGAAGTCAGACACAGAAACATTGTAGTATTTTAGTAATATGAAGTTTAAGACCAGGCAGCACTGTTTTTGGTGAAAATATGTAGAATGATGCTTGGACAGATACTAACAATTGATTAGAAGGTTCCTGAGGGAACTATTTACTGAGACAGTATCATAATGAGAATGTGAGCCGCAAAGTGGAGACATACGTTAAAATTGTGTCGTTCAGGTAAGTGCATTTCATCATGTGTCAGTTCACCTAGAGAACTACAAAAATAATACTTGAATGTGAAAATCTGGGAAATGGGTAGAAGTATAGGTGAAATAAGAATGAAACACACTGAAGGTAATTGTTAAAGCCAAGTAATAAGGTAATGGGTTCAGTGTGCTATTCTTTTTACATTATTTGATTATTTTTTTAT